AATTCTTATTAGTATATTTACCAAAGCATTGACAATACTTACAACACTTACTTTTAAGAACTGAGAATTTGGTCCTTATTACTTGTGTATCGCGCGATCGCGATTTCTGGTAACTTTTAGTTTATTTTTGAAAGTTGAACGATATGGTTTATTATACAGCAGGTTGGAGGTTATTACAGACTGCAAAAACATCAGCAAATCTCTCGATCGAGTTTGATTTTCCTTGCCAAAGTATTAAGAAACACCATTTATTAAGTTAATACCTGAAAAGCGCTTTTATAAAAACACCGAACGCATCTGTAAGTTTTACACTTTTTGTAACGTTTTATGGAAACAATAGGGTTACCTCCACTATGAAACGTTTGTTTTTCTTCTCTTTTCTTCTCTGTCTAATAAACAGATTATAAAAGCTCTGCTCCCAGGGATAAATTCTCTACTCCGTCTTTGATAATTTATAACAATCGATCAAAAGGGATTACTTACTATTAGTTTTGTAAAAAATAATGGAGCACTTAAAGCAGTAAAATCAATTTTGAAAAAAAAATGGAGAAATATATATTAATTTTAATCAGCATTGTGATCCTCTTCTAAAAATCAACCGATATTATTTTCACAGAAGAATGAGGTATGAAAATTTTGGCAATTAGCTAAAATTTAAAATATATACTTAATGCTTATTTATAAGTTTTGAAAATTTGATCAATTCCTAGGGAACGTATTATTAGCTGTGAAAATACTTTTAAAATTTGAATTTGTCCAATTAATTTGTCGATTATTGTTTTAAACATTTGAGAAGAATAAAATTAAAATACAGGTGTTTAGAGGCACATTGATAGAAAAGAAATCAGTGTATATTGTTTAACCGACATATTGAAGAAAATGACACTGATAACTTCTTAAGTTACACTGATTTTTAATGTACATTTGAATTTTTAAATACTAGTATTGATTGATTACACAACTTTCCTTTTCATGCTTTATTTGAGAACAATATTGCATGAAGAGTATATGATAAAAACACCTTATATGTCCTTATCTAGATATTGTGCCTTATATTGTGCAAGACTTCTTTCAAATGATTCTCATATACCATTTACTTTATTCGAACATTTACTTGTTTGAAAATTCAATAAAATATATTTAATAAAGCTTGATAATCTTGTTTACTCACCAGTCTTCCCGTAGAAGTAGTAGTTTATAATATTACTAAAGGAAGTATTCAGTATCTGTATCAAAATACAGAATGATCAATGATCGATTTTAGAAGAAAAGCTGACTCCTGAAAGTTCAAGAGGTGGGATCCGTTGCCTAGAAAAAGTAAGCATCCCTCGTTGACAGGTTAATTATATTGCCGCGATGAGCCTACACAACTGAATCTCTCTGATATCAATTCATTTACAAAGTCTCTCCTCAGCCATCCGTTTTTTTCTCTGACTAGCCAGCTGTAGATCTACACTACTCCAAATCCATTAATCTAAAGAATTTAACTTGTCATTTTTTTAGTTGTTTGTTATAGTAGGCTTTACAATTACATAATTTCAGATTCAATAGAGAATAAAAGACAATGAAATTTTCAACATCAACATAATTTTTTTTTATCCAGAGAACAATTGGATGCCATCAAGAGAGAATTTTTAAAAATGCACTTCCTGTCTTTCAAACTGAAGAAATCTCATGTTTAAATTTTGAAACATGCATTTCAATCTTATTAAAATTTATTTAAAGGGGGGGGGGAAATAAGCACCTCCTTCAAATTTACCTGGTCTTAGAACTTCTGTCAATCATCTGAAATTAAGCCTGGGATTGGATACTTTTATTTGATTGACATTTAGTTTGCTGCTGTTGTGTATATCTTGTGTACCTTGTCTGGAGATCGTACCGACCATCGAATTAACTTTCAGGCTTTTGATGCCTTCCGCACTGTATGCCAACGTGATAAAGAAGCAATCAAATCGTTCTTTTTTTTTTTAAATTCATAAGAATATGTCATAAATATAATCAATCTATTTAATAATTAAATAAATGACAAAAAAAAACATGGCTATATAATATATATTTCATATCACGATTACGATCGATAATTTTAATTTCCGTGTCAAAACATGAGTTAACGCACATTTATTCCTCCAATTATTAACAAAATAAACCGACCTGCGTTTGAAGCTAGTATCATGAAATTAAATAAAATTATTTTTTAAAACAACATTGTTCATGAGTCAAGTGAATTTATATTTATAAGACAAACCTGTACGTGTCGCTTTTCTTCGAGACATGCATTATGGTGGCGGAGTTACGGTATAGGCCTAATAATACTTTTTAAAAGAGAAATTACTCGGAATATAACATCTTGCTTGTTATTTAATGTTTGAAAATAATAATGAATCCCGAAAGAAAAAAAAACAATGCAGATAATTCTTTTCCCGTTTCATACATGTAGCTGTCGGGGAATCACCTCCGGTCCGAAGCCTGACCATTTTTACCGACCATGCGTTATGGGAAAATCAAATAGGGTTTATCTTAAAAAGATATTAATTGAGACAATAAAATTTCTACTTAAACATTTTATTCTCAAAACATCGTTTCTAAGTTTCATTGCTATTTACCGAGAGACTGTTTTATGATTCAATTTCTTGTCCTTTCGTTTTGCGTAGACGTGTAATTTGAATTACTTCCCTTTTTGTCGCCAGATTATAACGACAGATTTTGGTGCTAAATGTATTTTCGTTATAATACTTCATTAAAAAACACTGTATATAAAAAAAATGTCGAATTATTAAAAATATTAATTATTTTAAAAGAAATTAAGAAGGATTCTGTCTGCAACAAAAAAATGCTATATTTCGCATTTCAATTCATGAGCTAAACATGGGGAAAAAACGGCCTCGGTTTACAAAGTCGTTGGAAAACGCATGCAGGTAATACACTCATTGGCGGATCCAGAGGGGGGGTTCCGGGGGTTGGAACCCCCCTTTATTTTTTGCCAAGTGGAGAAAGAGAGAGAAAGAAGGGGGATAAAACGTTTCCCGAGACTAAGTATTTGTACGTCTAACTTAAATATGTATTGAATAGATAGATTCTCACACATTTAGTTTTTTTTCCATTCACCTTCACTATTACTTTTTATGAGTGAATGGTAGAAAATATTCTACTTATTTTTATATATCTTATATATGATATGTAACATCCTGCGATCTTAATTTGGCTGTGTTGGCTATATACAAGAAGGTGCCTTTTTTTTAACTAAATCTTATGAAGTAACTAAAATTTAATTCATTGTTTTATACCCAACCCAAAAAGGATTTTGAAATTCTTTAAGAAAATTCATTCTACTCTTCGGAAATGCTGCAAATCCAATCAATTATAAGGCTTCAGTACTAGTTTTTTAAATGTGTTGATTTTTTTTAATACCGACTGGGGGTACCTTGTCAAAAGAAAAAAGGACGTAGAACAAAGATATCATTTTCCACAATCTTATATTTTTCCATACATGTGTGTGTGTGAATCTTTGCCTGAGAATGTGTAAAGGGGGGTGGGGGTTAGAGGGACACAAACCTGGAACCCCCCCTTTCAAAAATTGCTGGATCCACCCCTGACACTCAAGGGCTCAGGTAACATCCTGTGTATATAGGTAGTATACACAAGCCAGCGTCGTTCCCGCGGGGCTTCTCAGCCGCTTCGATTAAGCTCCACCCCACACCAAACTTACCTTAGGAAAACCGTACGGTTAAAAACCTCGGCCTTTAAATGTTCCAAATCCGCTACCGCTTCTGAAACATCTAACATCCCATTCGGGGTCACATCTGAGCGACCTTTCAATTATGAATACATGTACAAGTAAACACAAACACTTTGGGCATGTAGATTCAAGCCTCGGTAAACAGTTCTCAAATTAATTCCACGGCTACATATCATCATTATTGATACTGTCTTACGTTGAATTAAAGTAATTTTGGAATAAATTTCATGTATCTTCTGCAGTCTGGCATCTAAACGTGAATAATGCAAACGAATGAGCACAAACTATACAAGATACCCCACACGTCATACATAACACAACTTTTGCAATGCATATCTTTTTACTACAAAACTCCTCGGGTGTTTTGGTTGGGTGGTGAAAACAAGAAACCCATCTGAACTATTAGCCAGGATTTCGGAGGAACCATTTTCTTTGCCTAATCGAAGATTCACTCTTACATGACCCCAAATAGGATGTTGTTAGATGTTTGAGAAGCAGTAGCGGATTCGGAACATCTAATTTTAATTAGATTGCATCCATCTGTGACATCAGTTTGGAATGTTATTGGTTTTACTATTGAGTAAAGTATTACAAAAACAGAATGTCTGGGTTTTTCTTCTCTGATGACATTGGACAAAGATATGCATACTTAAATATCATCATTTTATGCACTTTTTCGGTACATATTAGATGAAAGCATGCTAACCGCTTTTCAGTACTTTCAGTACTTTGATTTTATGTGCAGTAAGGGTACGCATCTCCTGTTGCCAGGACAATATGTACCAAGGACGACAAAATGTGCAGTTTTGATTGGTACAAACTGCTGCCGGTGACAATATGTATAGGATGACAATATGTACCGTCATAATAACTCTGCGTGAAAAACATATGAGACTCGTCTGAGTTATTTTAATAGAAGTCCAACATAAGCTTTAAGCAACCCCAACTGAGGGGCGACAATATGTACAGTGAGAGTAGCCACATAATGTCGCCGGAAACATTATCTGCATTTGTAACTTTTAAGCCAATGATAACATGCACCGCCTTACGACACTATGTGCCGTAAGGGTAGGTACATATTGTCACTGATGACATTGACAGAATGATCATATGTACTATCACAACCCCTCCTTCTGAAACATTTAATCCATCATTCGTCAATGCAAGTGAATTATAATGATTAATAACTTCTTTTTTTTTCAATTATTAATCAACCAATTTTATGCATTTGAAAACTATGAATGACACATTGTTTCTTAATTATTTAAGAAATCTGGTACAGACCTTGATTTATTTTGCCTGTCGCTGCTTCTACTTCAAACTGATGTTTTAGTTCCTCTGCGTAATGACGTTCAGTCACAGGGTTCATTACCTCTTTTCCCAAAAAATCAACTGCATGTAGGTACTTGTACTCATTGTTCAGGTACGTATCAAGATCCAAAACTGCTCCTCTTACAGTTTGCCAAAGTAAGCGGTAATAAGTATTTGAAAGTTTGGGGGGATTGGGATAACTGTCACACAGAATTCTCGCAATAAAAATCCTCGCATTACGGATCTTTTCAATGTTGGCTGACAGAGATCTGTCACTGGGGTCAGGATTATTTATGCTTGGAGGTAAGCAATGACTAGATTGTGTATGGTGATGAAAAATATCACGTAGTTGATCACTGCATGGACCAAGGATAAGTCGACTCGCTCTATAGGCATTTGTTGTCTGATCTATGATATTAAGTGTCAATTCTATTGAATAAGGAGAGGTAGCCATGGCATACATGAAATGTTTCCCTGAAATTTCAAAATAAGTAACATGTGATAAAGGAAATAATTAATGCATTTGATGGAATTAAAATGTTTGAATTGAAGTTTTTACGTTATGAGTTTTTCTTTTTTTTTCTGATGCTCTTTTTTTTTAAAAGTAACTCTTGTCTACTTCATAAACTTCCATGCAACATTGTTTCAGATGCAGCATTATTTATTGGATTAAACACACGAATAGTAAAAAAAATCATTAAATTGTGCTAAATACTTCTTGATAAAGAAATAGATTCTAAGATTTACAAAAAAATAAATAATCCCAAAGCAAGATTGGAAGCTATGAATTTAATAGAAAAGTTAAATTTTAAACATGTATTTCGTAAAAATTATACACAAGTTCGACGCTCTTCTAGAAGGTGAAAGAAGACACTTTGAAAAAAGGCTAGACTTGATTTTTTTCTTAACTTTCAATTATTCGTCCCTTCTGCTACATTTATTCAATATGAAAATAGCTATAGATCAGACCGTTTTCCAGTTGTAATACCTATAAAAATTACTGTAAAAGGAAAAGATTTTTAAAAGTTCAACAATTCCCTTTTAACAGATAAGGATAATATAAAACTGATTGAGGAAAAAATAAAGTGAAAATTCAATATGCGTGCCCAGTTTACAATAAATCTTAGTAGTATTGAAAAAAATTAAAAATGATAGTTTTCTAATAAGTACTTCGTTCTTAAAGTCCGACAGTATAAATATTTTAATCAAACACAGATTCACAGAAATTGATGTTAACCGTTTGATTCCTGCAATTATTGAAAACACCATGATCAAACTTTAAAGAAACAATTTAAGAAAAACGAAAACGTACGATTCTCATTATAGATGTGATTACGAACTAACATACTTCACTGACTTTTACTGTTTGTAGGTTTAATGAGATTAAATGGTGTTCAATATCTTCATTTAATCAGAGATATTTCTGAATATGAAAAGAATCCTATATGAATATTAAAGGTGTTTATATATAATACGAAAATTCAGAGTAGAAATGTTCGAAAGCATAACCCCATCACTAGTATCGCTCAGTGTTCTGTACAGAGTTCAACAGATTGAATACACCGTGAAACGTAAATTGTTTTATAAACAGGGCACGAGATCTATTGTTGTTAACGTTTACGATTTACCGGATGATTCAATTGTTAAAGTCTGCACTTACCACTGAAAACAGACTGAAAGTAGACTGTGAGGGGGTTAGCTTTCGAACATTTCTACTCTGAATTTTCAAGATTTTAATTTCAATACTTTTCATTAATATACAACAAAATTGCCACTTTTCTGAAGTATTAAGATTAAAATAAAAACATTTGTTAGTTCAAGGATGTTTCAATCAAACCCGTCCAGAAATTCTCAGTTTCAATAACTTCGAGATGAAATTAGATTTAATGTTTTTTAGTGTGAAATGCTGTAGCAAAATATAGGTCCTGATATTTTACAGAATATTTGAGAAAATATTAATTTCAAATCTGTGACTTAGCACCTTAAAACGAATTTGAATCAAAGGTATCTCAGTTCCGATTTCAAAATCAACATATAGTGAAACGGATATGGTTGTTTACCTTCGTATAAACGTTAGACCTAGTTTTCTTTTTATTTCTTAAACACTAAAAATATTATTTTAACGATCATGCAAGAAGTATGAGACTGCCATTGTACAGAGACTGCATTGGGATAATACTAATTGTTTTGCAGGACCTTGGAGACCTCTCTGGTGACGGAGTTGTGAAACCTTAGCTTGTTTCTCCTCCTATATACGGTCATAAGACCTGAATAAGTCAGACCGTTGCGGGGGATAGACAGCTTAGTGTTATAGACTAACCAAAATCATAAGACCTGAATAAGGCATTCATTTGGTTGTATAGAGAGAGGTGGCATACCACAGAAGTGGGGGAAGTGCCAAGTCAGTACTTGTGAAGTGGCAGGACAAGAAGAAATTTATTTACGGGAGACACCCGTTGACCACAGTTAGTGGTTATCCAATCAAGAAGAGATCCATTGTATTATTTTATTGTATTTGTATATATTTGTGTATATATTTCATTTGGTCAACAAAAAGCTGAGTTAACAGGTTAACGAACCCTAGTGTAACGCCTCGGTAATACAAGACATATCACACACACCAAGCTCGGCCGCGTTGAACGTTACAATATTATACACAGAGAATAAGTAATAAGTCCATGAGGTAAATCGTATATGGTTATTTGTTTGTACATTACATGTAACATGAAATACATAGAGAAACGAACAGTATTTAACATCAAAAGTTCATTAAACAATACAAAATAGTAGCAGAGCAAACACGGACCTCCAAAATATTGTAGGTGGGATCAGGTGCCATGGATGAGTGAGCATCCCCTACCAATGATAAATTGTATTTGCTGACAAGGTGATTGTATCGACCAAAAAACTTCAAAAATAAAAACTTTACAAGAGACAGCTAAAATTTCCGTTTCATCAATTTGTTTGTCAATAGTTTACCTCGTTTTAGAAATTCTTTGTACGTAGAGCATGCTCTTGCGTATTTAATCAACTTATATATATAAACTCCGTATGCAGTTGGTGAAGGTATATTGCTACTTTAGTAAAGAAAGTTGACGATAGAAAAGTTAAAATCATTACGTTTATCATAGAACTTGGTTGCTAGATTACCGTTAACATCTTGTCAAGTAATTAAAAATATGAAACAGATGTGTCAGACGCTGTGGTATCTTTTATCTCAAGCTCACCAGGATAAATCGTATCGACATAAGAAAGCAAATTACAAATGGAAATTGACAATACGTCGATGATATATCTAAATGTCTAGTTGAAGGCTACGACAGGTGTTTTCTTCTTTTCATGCAAAAGATTTTGCACAAATCTGCATCATATCAATACAAATATAGGCCTGCTAATAACGAGGTGCGATTGATACCCATAGGAATTCCAATATATTGTTGGAAGACCTTGTCTCCATAAATGACATAGACATTGTCAATCAGAAACTCAGTGAAACATATGGAGATAACGAAAGTATTCAAGATCAAGCTTCTTATTGATTTTAACATCAGAGTACTTGTGTGTACAATCAAAATGCTTTTTAACAAAATAATTTTGCAAAAGATCAACTACAAGGTAAGTAAATTTACGAGTTCAATTTTTATTGAAAAAGCAGCTGTCAGTGATATTAAAGAGCTTGGACTTTAATTCATCTTGGGGAATGGTTGTGTATAAAGTTAAAAAGTTGTTTTTCAGCTATTTATTTTGGTGAAATATTGTGATTTCAAATTTTCCAAAAGTTCCTTGGAATTTTTAAGCATCCACATCTGATTAACACCACTTCTCGAATATATTGTTACACAGTACTCCTGAAATTTCTCCTTCACTACTGTAAATATTTTAGTGAGGATTAAAGATTGAAAAATTTCCTTCTAAAGGGGACTTAAAGTATAAGTTGGATTAACATTGCAAAATTAAATCCAAGTTCTTCTAAAATACAATTTATATAATGAGCCTTACAAACGAAGACAATGTTGTTACCTGCTTTGTCAGCAGAGACCAGTAGGTAGTGATCATGTAATCTAATTCTTTTTTTTTACTTCTGGATTATTAAGTGCAGAAGGATAGACGGTTTTTATAATGCCCCTCAATCTTTTAATACATGATTTAAACATAGATCTGATACATTGAACCCATTCTGACAAAGTGTTAACTACTTCTTTTTTTGTTATTAATTCTCCTCAACCAGCTAACTAGGGGCCCGTCTTTCCAAAGTGAAAGGATTGCAAGTTCTAAAGTTTGCTAAATCTATAATATTACATGAGGCCAGTTTTAACTTTTTGAGACACTGAGGCCAGTATCCCCCCCCCTTTTTTTTAAAGATGATTTTGCCATAATACAACAAAAAACAATCAAATCAAAATTACCATTATGTCTCTCATTAATAAAGTCTGAGGACTTTTTTTTGTTATTAATGGAAGATATTTTTTGAATTCAGTTGCGCCCCGTCCCCGTATTGTACAATGTACTTAAAAATTTAAACATACAATTTTTAATAGTGTATAGAACACGATCCTCCTCTCGGGAGCGATAAAATAAGCAGCTGAATACTAGTAATACAAAAATCATAATACTTTACGAGCTGGTTTTCCCTTGAACTGAAAGCGTACCTGTTCTATTATTCAATCTATAGTGTTTGACTTGGCCGTTCTTTATCACCCCCATTCAAATTATAAAAATCTAAATACCATCCACTGATTTTTTTCGTTGTTGTTCGTGGTTTTTTAAAGATATTTGTATTTATTATTATGAAATGGTTGAATTCAAAGTTATGAAAATAGGTGAAAACAAAATCTCAGAAAAAATCAATAATCTTACACTATCAATATTCACTGTATATTAGATTTTTTTTCTTATGCTGATATTTTTCTCAGTGTTCTAAGTTTTTCGATGCATTTCCAGAAACATCTCTTCCAAAACTCGAAACAAGAAAACATTATTTGATGTAACCATCAATTGTCGCCAGAGAGATAAATAAAGTAAACAATGGAACTGAATCTTGATCATCAAACCGCTTTGATAGGTGTGAGAAAGGCATGCATCTAAATGATGGACACGATAGTCGGGAAGATTTTAAAAAAACTGAAAATTGAACAATTTAAAAAAATTTCTCAATCTGCATACACCAAAACTTAAAATTATATGAAAAGAGCAGCTCGGTCCTTCGGGCTGCAATTAATTCATTAATCAAGTAATATTCTTAAAGTACTTTAGAAATAATATTAATATATTTTTTTCTCTGTATAAAATGTGTCTACTGTACCTTTCACGTGGTACTGTGAGCAACTTCTAATCTAATACAGACCTAAGGCTACTATTGTGTATAATATAGACTTCTGATATCGTGAAAAGTAAACAAAAACACAATGCCAGTCCTGATAATAAAGATAGGGCACGTCGAGTTCATGAAAATAATTTTGAAAGTCAAACATAAAAGATTAATGAAAACAATACTCATCAAAACTAAACAAAATTTATTTAGTGATTTTTAAGCCCCCGTAAACGACGTTTCGGGGATATATAGCTTTTTTCGTGTCCGTCTTTCTCTCTGTCTGTCTATATCTCTGTTTAAACTTACCTATAGCTTTTGATTTAGTGGAGCTATGGCATTCATATTTCACATGTGTATTTCTTGTGACAAGACCTTTCTTTTGCTACCACCAAATTTGACCTTTCACTTTGGATTTTGACCCACTTTTACACAAAAACTTTGAACTTTTACTTTGGCCATATCTTTTGAACAGTAGAGACCAAGGCATTTATACTTATAATGCGTATTTTTATGAGAAGACTTTTTATCGGATACCAACAACCTTGACCTTTTGACCTTGACAGATATTTCTGTTCTTAATAAAAAAATTAACCTTGGCTATAACTTTTGATCAGAAAGTACTAGGGCTTTCATACTTCAAACTTGTAACCCTTGTGAGAAGACGCTCCATTGGATACCAAGAACTTTGACTCTTTGACCTTGACCTTTGAGTTTGACCTACTTTAAAAATACAACCTTGACCATTGTTTTTGAAGGGTTAGTACAAGGGCTTTCATACTTCATATATTTAATCCCTGTGACAAGACCTCTCATTTGATACCAAGAACCTTGACCTTTTGACCTTGGAGTTTGAACCACTTTTACACAAAAATTGCAAACTTTTACTTTGGCTCTGATTTTTAAACGGTAGATACTAAAAATTCCATTTTTCAAATATCACTTCTTTTTGGCAAGACCTATCATTTGAAACCAAGAATTTAGACGTTGACCTTGGAGATTTCCGTACTTACGAAAAAAATTAACCTTGGTCTTAACTTTTGAATGGTAAGGGCTAGGGCTTTCATACTTCAAATATGTAATCCTTGTGAGAAGACCATTCATTGGATATCAACAACTTTGAACTTGAGCTTGGAATTTGGCCTTCTTTTTACTAACTTTAACATTGGCCATAACTTATGAACGGTAATGGCCAGCGCTTTCATACTTAACACATGTAATCTTTGATTTAAGGTCTATTTTTAGAAACCAAAACCCTTGACCTTTGATTTGACCCCGCAGTTTGTCCCACCTTTAAAAACGTTAACCTTGGTCATAACCTTTGAACAGAATGGTGCTAGAATTTTTTATTTCTTCTGAAAAGGTCTTACCTAAAGTACCAACATATTTGATCAGCATTAGAGAAAGCTTAACCTTTGCTATATTGCCATAGGGGGGAATCAGTGTTTCACAAACACATCTTGTTTTTAGTTTGCTTGTGCGCAAAAGCCTACAAGATTAAATTCATATCATGTAGCTTAATTGTGTAGATATGTTGAAAGTTAAAGAAGAGTCTAACATTATATAAATCGGTATCATACATTGTTTACTTTGTGTGATAATCATGTCTTAACCCCTTCCACATCGTGTTGAATTTTAATGCATATATCTTTTGCATATGCTTCACACAAGATCATGTATATTTGTTTTCCCGTAATCAAGCATTGATAACTTACTTTGTAGTGGCCTATTTATGCCATATAATATCTAAATAAAAAATCCATTTATTCTAACTTATGCTAAATGATTGGCTTAAACTTTAATCATAAGGGAGTATATATAATTTTATCATATGTTCCTCATCATCGATTATCGTTCATATATTATTGACTTTATGCCATCATGAGATTATCAAATAAAATAAACTTGCACTGAGATTGCAGGTAAATGTGTCATTTCACGTGAAAAGTAATCGTCGTAGATCAATACGTTATAAAGAGTAAAGTCTAACATTTATTTGAGTGCCGAAAGAGTGCACTTTTTATGCAATTTTACATGTAAGTAGTAAAAATGGGTCAACTGAGTGGAGTTTTAACCCTAACCCTAAAAAATGGGTCCTAGTGCCTAACCCTAACCCTAACCCTAACCCTTACCCTTACCCGTAATTCGAATTCTAACCCTAACTCGAAACCAAACCCTAACCCCTAACCCCTAACCCTAACCCTATCCCCTAACCCTAACCCTAACTAACCCTAGCCCCTAACCCTAACTAACCCTAACCCCCTAACCCCTAACCCCCCCCCTAACCCTAACCCGGGGTGTGTTTACATTGGTGTGTTGGTACTACCCTATCCCCTAAAATACCTATCCCCTAAATACAAATATGTGTTTACACTATACGTAGGTACTACGTTTTTTTTTTATGCTGACTATACAGGTAAAAAATGCGCCGTGTGCAAAAAAAACATTGCAAGAATGTGATTATGACGTCACGCATTCACAGTCTAGACAGTCCTATAACCGGTTTGAACTGGTTTTACTGAAAGACAAGAACCACCTGGATTTTTTTACTGAAAACAAGAACACACACAATACAGATTAGAACACAGATTTTGATTTTTCAATTTTATTCAAGTGAAAATATACATACAATTTACATTTTCTGTTTCTTCTGGGCCTTCTCACTGGTCAGGGGTAGTTTCCTTTTAGTTTCCCTAGGTTTTCTTTCTATGTCTTTTACCGATACATAGCATGGCTCCATTTGTTTCTTACTCTCTCCTGATCCGCCCTGGGTCCCTTCTTTTTTCTGGTCAATGTTTCCTCCTTCTTCTCTCATTTTTGTCTCTTTCCCCGTGAATGACTTTGTGATTGGTGATAATAATCCACTAATATAACAAAATCCACTGCTGTTATGACATTTCAGTTTTTCCATCTTGTTTTCAAGAGCACTCACCTTGCTGTTCAATTTATTCACCTTGTCATCCACATCATTCATCTTGGTGTTCATTTGATTTAGTTTGTTATCTAGAGCAGATAACATGTTCACAATTCCGTCCAGAGTAGTGTTTAAAATGCTCATATCTTCTTCTTTATTCATGTCCTCAGGAAAATTAACCATGTCCAAATTCAAATCCAATTCCACGGCATCCTTTATTATCTCTGTCATGGGAGCTCCTACATATCCTTCAGGTGTCACATAATACTGGGAATTTTCTGAAGTATTCATCATTGCTTCTATTTCTTTTCACCTGTGTCCAGTTCTAAGTGCTCACGCAGAATGATTATCAAATTTTACAGTTTTTTTAGTTTATATACCTGCTATGAGCCGTGTGCACCTTTTTTACCTGGGCTTTATATACCTGTTACATCCTCTGTAAAGGACCGTGTGCCAAAACTTAGGGGCCGTGTGCACTTTTAACCTGCGTTTTCTATACCTGTTGCATCACCTGTAAGGGGTTCGTGTGCATCAATACGTTTTACCTACGTGGGCTATAAAAAATGAGAATAAAAAATAATAATAATATTTTTTTTTTACTGTGATAATACATAGATGCAATGGAAAGAAAAAAAAAAAGTATGTATTCAATACCTTGGAAATTTCACACAGGGTTAAGAAAAAATCGTTTTTTTTTTTAAAATACCAAAACCTCAATCAAATCTACGAATGACTAGACCCCACCCCCTTGGATGCAATGAATATCATATACAAAATACTATTTCGGAGGAGAATTCGACAGTTAGAAGCATTGTTAGTTTTTAACAAATAAAACAAAAAAAAAATCTTGTAATACTACATCACTGTTATGTTTATTGTATGACGTCATGGATACACTCGGGTTCGGCCTTTCCCCCCTTCAATTTTGCTTTCTCACTGTGGTGGGCGTGTTTACCAAATGGGGTGATTTTCTTTTAGCCAATCACATTTGATCACATGATTGGTTTTTCCATGTTTCGCACGCGATTCCAGTATCGTCTGCTATTGTAAATAAATACAGCCCCTCCGAACGCCCAGTGTCATTCTGCTTGTAGCTGATTTGGTGTTTTACACACACACACACAGAGAGAAGAAAAAAGAAAGAAGAAGAAGAAGAAAACAAAGAGCAGACCAATTTAGAGAGATTTTTTCCCTGATTCCGGGGATTGCTATTGAAACCCAAGTCGTGGTGAGGCGCCTAGACACTTTGCAGGAGTTGAGCAGATATAATATGGTGCGAGTTCAGCTAAATACGAGCCACCCAGCAGAAATAGAGGGGACACCCTTACACTAGACTTTCCACAGAAGAACTTCAAGAGGAGCACCTTCTAGATCCCCGCCCCCGCCGCCGCCCAGACCTGCAGCCCCCCAGGCTACAGGCACGGAAACCAGGGGCGGATCCCCACCTGGGGCTTTCGTGTTCCCATTCAGTCAATTACTGTGCACCCTATGTCTGCAGAGGGGGAGGAAATAACTTTTGTTGTTCCCGCTGCCTCCAACGGGCAGCATGTACTCTTATGCGCTGCGCAGAGTCATCGAACAAGATCTTCCGTGCCCCCTCTGCCGGAACCAGCGGCGACTGTTAGTACCTTTGTCCCTCAGGCCTGAGTTTAACCGAGATGACACTTCTTCTGATGAAGATGATGATGAGTCCATTGGGCACCTAGTCCACGAGTTATTGGCCGCCTAGACCAGCCATCCCACCTTGATAACAAAACCAGAAAAAAAAACCAAAAAAATCAACAAAACAACGAAAAAACCAAAAAAAACTACAAAACAACGAAAAAAAACAAAAAAAGCCCTTTTAAGGGCTACCCAATTGTTTCGAAAAGATGCCTTCATATTCAGTCAATAAAAAGAAACGTTCTGTGTGTGTCTTAGAAAAAAAAAATCTTTTTTTTTTTTCTAAAATACAGTCAAAGAAACGATTGTATCTTAGGAAAAAAAAATGATCTTTTTTATATACAGTCAAAGAAACGAAACGTTTGTGTGTGTTCAATAAGAGTACCTTCTGTACAGTCAAAAAGAAACATTGTGTTTCTTTCAAGTTATAACACCA